GACTACAAAGATCACAAGGAGTCCTTTAACCATTGTTCTCAATTAACCATTAGAAAACAGTGCTCTCGCCAACTGCAACATCTACTTCATTGATAAGAAACACTGAATAGAGTATATCATCTCCCTAAATGCATGTCCAGGTTCAGTAACCTTAACCCTTTGCATCATAGAGGTGTTTTGAAACATATCATAGTTTTGAGTGTCTGCCATGCAGTGGATGGCACTGCCGCCCCTTCAGTGCATCACAGAATCCCTGGTGCTGTCCAGGCTGCTCGCTGAATATGAGCTACACTTCATTGTTGTTGAGGGAGGTTGTATTGCCAAAGCAAATGAAAAAAAGAAATTTGCAAAAATTTTGTGGAAGCAGAAAGTGTGAACCTAAAGGTAAGAAAAAATAGTGTGCTGTAGTTGTGATTGTCTTATAGACATATGGCAACTTTTCAAGTTTTTCTTATGCGTTGATTGGTAACAGGGTGACGTTTCAGTAGTGTGTTTGAAAACACAGAAACACGGAAAACACAGGTTTACTTCTGAACATATGTGGAGTGTTTCCTTGTCTTTTTTCCCTTACAGTCACAGAGGTGTTCAGAAACACACCTGGTTCAACCAGTAGCAGGCATGCAAAAATCTGGGAAAAAAAAAACCAACTCAGGCATTCCTTGTCATGTGAAACCTAAAACCACTAAAATAAATCTTAAAAAATAATCCTGTGATGCATAGGGTTAAGGCAAATTTCATCAGCCTTATCATTTCTCTCCATCATGTACAGAATGTTAATCAATTTCGAGATATACATTTACAAAACTGTATGATACAAGGAAATAGCCACAGGAATGTAATGTTGCAAATCAGCTTAGTAATTCAAGAGATCTACTGATTGTCAACCTTCTCAAACAAATAAAAAAAATTGATATATAACACATAAAAAAAAGCATAAAATAACCCTACAGACATGGTTGTTTTGGGCTATTGGATGCACTTCTGTAAAGCACTGCATTAGCATTTAATCAGGGTTCAGTAAAAAATTTAAAAAAAGTATTACTGTGGTTTTGGTTGTGTTGTCGTACGAAACAAAGGTAGTTTTACTAGGATTAAATGTTTCGTTTGAAAAAGATACACGGAATTTGAAAACGGTGTGGATTTCCTGTAACTTTCGTAAAATGCAGTAATGGATAGGTAGGCTGAAGTAGTAAAGACAGGCTACAAAATTAACATTATTTGTTTTTCAAAAATCCTCCATAGTTTTGGAACACCAGCCAATTTATCTAATAATGCTTGGCATCCAATTACTCCACCTTCCCCTACTTCTGCTGGAAATAAGATTGGGATTGGTGGTTTAACATTATTTGTTTTTCAAAAATCCTCCCTAGTTTTGGAACACCAGCCAATTTATCTAATAATGCTTGGCATCCAATTACTCCACCTTCCCCTACTTCTGCTGGAAATAAGATTGGGATTGGTGGGCACTAGGTTCAGGCCTCAAGTGATTTTCTGGTTCAAGTCTGGCTATGACCTAAGCACTGAATGTTAAATTCCTTCCTCACATTCTCAGACAGGTTGGACTGCATTTGAATTAGTGAAAGCCACCAGAAAACAAAGCAGGATACATCTGTAGTTGAGCCCATTTTCCATAAAAGGTAGTGAGGTTAGGATGTGAGAGGCCATGAGCACACCATAACATGGGAGGATTAGGGTTGTATGCAGCTTGGCCATTGAATTCATATTTTTTCATGTGTTTTGTTGCTAAAAAACAAAAAAAAAACAATTCAGTGAGTGACCACACCTTGGCAAAAGAATCCAATTGATTAATGCAAATATTGGGATTTCTTTGTGGAGTTGAAACTTCACAAAGACCAATCCTGGGGTACAAAATTTATCCACTCTGTCGTTTCAGGGTTATTGTTCACCCACATCAATACAAGAACTAAGGAAACATACCAGCAGCTGAAGCGATTGAGGAAGAACTGGAAACCCTCTTCATAGAAGAGTGGGGAAGGGCAGCTAAAGAGGTGACGTGGTGGAGCTCATCACCAGTTCCATGATCAGAGGCATTCCACACTGTGCTGCTGCTGGTTGGGAGCCCAACCAACTGCTTTAGCCGATCTCGGGACCCAATGCGGCGTAGAGAGTTAGTTGGTGACGGCGTCACTTTGTCTGCAGTCATGCAGGAAAACTATCACCATCTCCAAATATGGAGACTCAAAGGAGCATTCAACTCGATGTCACAGGCATTTGTTAATTTGTACCTCTTTTAAAGCGTCGTGTGCATTCACTTTATGATAAAAAGATGTCTATCAATGACCATCCAATCAAAACATGGATACTTTGAGAAGAATATTATAAACTGCTTATAACAAAAATTATCAACTTTCTTTCCAATTAAAGAAATTGGAAATGAAACAAACCCCTTTCATGGGATGGGGATATTTNAAAAAAAAAAAAAAAAAACCACATGGAAAAAAGGGGTTTTTACAGTAGTTGGCTTCTTGCACCATGATCATTCATAATGGTCAAGTTCTTAGGAAGGGGGAGGGGGGGGGAATGGGTGGCATGTAACACATTTACCCAATGCTCTGAAATGCTCTCCTTTTCTCTTCTATCCCTGCATCACCTGAAGTAGAAGGGTTGTCACATCCCTTCACAGGGTATAATGACTATTATCATATACATACAAACAACTTGCACCTCGTCCTTGAAGCAGCAGCCCCCACGACTACAAAGATCACAAGGAGTCCTTTAACCATTGTTCTCAATTAACCATTAGAAAACAGTGCTCTCGCCAACTGCAACATCTACTTCATTGATAAGAAACACTGAATAGAGTATATCATCTCCCTAAATGCATGTCCAGGTTCAGTAACCTTAACCCTTTGCATCATAGAGGTGTTTTGAAACATATCATAGTTTTGAGTGTCTGCCATGCAGTGGATGGCACTGCCGCCCCTTCAGTGCATCACAGAATCACTGGTGCTGTCCAGGCTGCTCGCTGAATATGAGCTACACTTCATTGTTGTTGAGGGAGGTTGTATTGCCAAAGCAAATGAAAAAAAGAAAATTGCAAAAATTTTGTGGAAGCAGAAAGTGTGAACCTAATGGTAAGAAAAAATAGTGTGCTGTAGTTGTGATTGTCTTATAGACATATGGCAACTTTTCAAGTTTTTCTTATGCGTTGATTGGTAACAGGGTGACGTTTCAGTGGTGTGTTTGAAAACACAGAAACATGGAAAACACAGGCTTACTTCTGAACATATGTGGAGTGTTTCCTTGTCTTTTTTCCCTTACAGTCACAGAGGTGTTCAGAAACACACCTGGTTCAACCAGTAGCAGGCATGCAAAAATCTGGGAAAAAAAAAACCAACTCAGGCATTCCTTGTCAGCATTTAGGTCATGTGAAACCTAAACCACTAAAATAAATCTTTAAAAATAATCCTGTGATGCATAGGGTTAAGGCAAATTTCATCAGCCTTTTCATTTCTCTCCATCATGTACAGAATGTTAATCAATTTTGAGATATGCATATACAAAACTGTATGATACAAGGAAATAGCCACAGGAATGTAATGTTGCAAATCAGCTTAGTAATTCAAGAGATCTACTGATTGTCAACCTTCTCAAACAAATAAAAAAAATTGATAGATAACACATAAAAAAAGCATCAAATAACCCTACAGACATGGTTGTTTCAGGCTATTGGATGCACTTCTGTAAAACACTGCATTAGCATTTAATTAGGGTTCAGTAAAAAAATTTTTTTCATAATGACACCAAAACCAACACAACAGCATGCTTTGTTTCCATCAAAATGATCCTAATTTACAAAGCAAACTTTTTCTATGTGCCTTAAACTTTTGCCACACCTAAAGGACATTGAAAGGTAAAATGCAGCAATGGATAGGTAGGCTGAAGTAGTAAAGACAGGCTACAAAATTAACATTATTTGTTTTTCAAAAATCCTCCATAGTTTTGGAACACCAGCCAATTTATCTAATAATGCTTGGCATCCAATTACTCCACCTTCCCCTACTTCTGCTGGAAATAAGATTGGGATTGGTGGACACTAGATTCAGGCCTCAGGTGATTTTCTGGTTCAAGTCTGGCTATGACCTAAGCACTGAATGTTAAATTCCTTCCTCACATTCTCAGACAGGTTGGACTGCATTTAAATTAGTGAAAGCCACCAGAAAACAAAGCAGGATACATCTGTAGTTGAGCCCATTTTCCATAAAAGGTAGTGAGGTTAGGATGTGAGAGACACACCATAACATGGGAGGATTAGGGTTGTATGCAGCTTGGCCATTGAATTCATATTTTTTCATGTGTTTTGTTGCTAAAAAACAAAAAAAAAAACAATTCAGTGAGTGAACACAGCTTGGCAAAAGAATCCAATCGATTAATGCAAATATTGGGATTTCTTTGTGAAATTTAAACTTCACAAAGACCAATCCTGGGGTACAAAATTTATCCACTCTGTCGTTTGAGGGTTATTGTTCACCCACATCAATACAAGAACTAAGGAAACATACCAGCAGCTGAAGCGATTGAGGAAGAACTGGAAACCCTCTTCATAGAAGAGTGGGGAAGGGCAGCTAAAGAGGTGACGTGGT